CCCCCCCCCCCCCCCCCCCCCCCCCCCCCCCCCCCCCCCCTCCCTCCCAAAGACCTCGCCGCAGCAGCGGCGATCCGTGGACAATGTCCGGCCATCCCATCTCTCCCAGTCGGTCTTCACCCGCTCGATCCTCAGCAAGAGCCAAAAGTCCCACACGTAGCGTCTCATTTGCCCAGCATGCATCCTCCAACTCCAACTCCGCTGCTCTCCCTTCACCATCTCGAGGAGCAAGTCGAGCATCATCATCGCAATCTGTCACAGCAGCAGCTCAAGCGGAAGAGCAGGAAGAGGATGAAGTGGAGGATGATGAAGAATCGTTGGATTATTCCGCATTGGCCGAATTGGCTCGCAGAGCGATCAGAGAGGAGGAGGAACTGTTCCCTTCTAGCGTCAACGCGCCCCACTCTTCCCCATCGCCCATGGCGCCAAGAGGGAGCGAAGATGCGCCGATGGAGCAGCAGCAGCAGCAAGACTCCGCCTCCGCTTTCATACCCAAGAGGGGAGAGAAGGATTTTGAGCCGACGGGATTTGGAGGACAGCGTAGAGCGTTGGAGAGGAGCAGGAACAATATGTTGTTGGCCATCAGCGGTAAGAGGAGGATCGGTAGGTGAGTGTGTGTGTGTGTGTGTGTGTGTGTGTGTGCGCGCGTGTATATGTGGATGGTAGTGTGGGCGACCGCATGTATGCGGTGCATCAAAGAGATCGTGCGACTCCTGCTCACCGAATGATCGTCCACTGAGCTGATCACCGCCTCGTTGCATTCTCATCCTTCGCAGCAAAGCGCTCTCGATAGGCACATGGGAACCGACGCTCAACAGATGCGTCATGGAAGTCGTGCGCGGCGTGCTCTTCACTTCCATGGGCATCACCAGGCGCGTGGGCGTACTGACCAACGGGGAGGACCAAGATCTGTGCGAGGCGAGGATGGCAGAAACGTGCAGCTCGCTGAGCGCATCTCACCATCAGACGCTTGCACGAGAAGCGCCGAATCTGGCGGGTGTGACGAAAGAGGGAGTCTTTTACCCCAGATTGAGAGCGAGGTACGAGCTGCTTCCCGAAGAGGCCATCTACCTCGTCGAGAGGGGCGCGCTGGAATGCAGAGTGAAAGTCAAGCATCACACAGCAACATTTTCGGAGGCGGGTTCCCCTGCAGCGGAGCAGCAGAACTTTGTGCCGATGAGCGTGCAGCAAGCTTTTGCGACCATGATGCCAGGTGCAGGTGGCAGAGATCGCTATCAAGTGAGCACTGAATACGCGCTAGAGGAAGAAAATGTACAGCTTACCCAATCCCTCTCTGATGACTACGCAACCCAAAGGTGTATGCCTATCTAAAGAGACTGGGCTACCATGTGCAACGAGCAGATGTCTCGGACGCTCTGAGGAGTCAGGCTTTATCAGCAAGATCAGTTCAACCATCTATTAGCAGCTACTCGCCGCTCGCTTCGCGTTCAAGCCCTTCGACCAGCTCAGATCCGCACGCGATCCCACTCGTCAGCCTCCTCGACTTTGCACTCTATCCACTACGACGAGGACTGCAGCTTTTTGAGGATGGGACGAGCATTGTATACTCGGCGCTCGCAGGGATATGTGGGCCTGTTTGGCACCGGTTGGGCTGGAGGGCCAGCGCGCGGGAGACTGCTTCGTTGACGCGGGGAACGGGCCTTTTGGGCATGGGCGGGCGAGTGTGGAGATCGTTTGGTGAGCTGAGCTGTCGTGCATTTTGCTCTGATTTGCCTCCGTCTTCTCGCGGAGCTGAACAATCGCTGAGTTGTTCTGGGACCGTGCCGCATCCCAACAGACGACGTCTTTGCAGCCCTTCGCATCGTGCCATCAGGTCCCGATAGACCTTTGCCTTCGCGGCGCAACTCTGTCACTTGTGCGCTTCACAATGCTGATGGACCGTCTTCAGACGACACGCTCGACGACGCAGTCGACGGAACCATGATGCCGATCATCTACTACGCCTGGAGACCCGCAACGCAATTCAAGAGGTCCGATCCCCCCTTGCCAGAATACAGGATATCCATAGTGAACGCTCGAGCGACGGGCGTGCCTAGCGTGTGGGACTTTGAGGAGACCTTTTCCAGCTTTACATCCAGCAAGGCTGCTCCGGGCAAAGAGGCAGGCAGCGCCAGTGTCGTCGGAACGGCACCCGTCGAGGATGAGCGGGAAATCACGCGGGCTCAGAGGGAGAAGAAGAGGAACGATGAGAGCTACGGGAAAGGCATGGTCAAGCGTTTGCAGAGGGAGAAAAAAGAAGCCCAAAGAGCATCCCTGTCGAATTCGCGCTTCTTGGAGGAGGAGAGCAGCAAAGATGGTCGAGAGCGTCGTTTGCTCGCACAAAGCTGCTCTGCGCTGAGAAGCATCGTGGATCTTTGGTCGCACGCCCCACCCGGCTGTTCGCGCGCACCTTTGCCCGCGAACAAACAGCACAAACGCGATACGAACTTTGCCACTCGCCCACCAAATCCTTTTCCGCCCTTGAAGAGCGGAAGGCGAAACTTTATCCTGGCCGTGTGCGATCATGGCACGACGCAAATGTTCAGGTTTGGAGAGAGCGATTTTGCCGCTTGGAAGTTGGCCGGTCGAGGCGGGCCGGGAAGGGGATGAAGAGGCTAGAATTCAAAAGCTTGCGAGCATATTGGAGAATGACGTGTTCATTGGCACAAGTGATGCAAATGATTGCGATGCATTGTAACGGAAGCAGAAGCTAGAAGCAGTCTTAGCGAAGGAGAGACAAGCGCAAGCTTACTCGGAGCGGGCTTTGAGACGCTCTTGTATCCTAGACTGGATCCAGACCATCGCGTGCCAAGAGCGCTCGCATCGTCTCGATGACGCCCGTCTTGTCCGCCGCAGCTATGCCATCGTCCGCAGGCGACTCGAACGCTTCAGCCATGACCTGGAGAGGTAAAAGGCAAGCACGAGCGCATGAGCTCGAGAGGCTTTCGACATCATCGTCATCTTCGAAGTCGGACGACTCACAGCATCCAAAAGACGTCTCAGCTGACCACACAGCACGCCTATCCTAGCATTCGCTCGCAAACGTATTTCTTGCGTCGGTCGAGCCGGCGAGTCGGAAACGTCTGCTGCCCCTTCCTGCTTCAGAGCATGAGAACCGACGCTTATACCTCCAGCCAAATGATGTATGGTCAGCTTGCCGCCAAAGAGCAACAAAGCAAAAAGAGGCACATCCGTCGCATCCCTCAAGTACGTCTTGCTACTCTGTCCCTCTCCGCTAGCGCTCTTTTTGAAGCAGACCAAATGTCCTTGGATATGATTGGAGGAAAAGAGGATGCTGGAGGGGTGCAGAAATACTCTGCCTGTTGCGTCAAAGTACTTGAGCGCTTTGGCTTCTGCTGCACGCTGTATGGCCCCCGAACTTCCTTGATCGAACTTGGCTGACGGTAGAGATACCCTTATGACGGAGGGGTAGAGACCAGCAAGGATGAGAGAGCTGAGCAACGAGTGATTGGAAGCGTGTTGATCCAAAGCGTGCAAGGAGTCGTCGCGCAGATAGGCGCGAGCATCGTACGTTCGAGGCACAAAGCCCAACTGCTGCAGTTGACTGAGCAAATCCATTCTATTGCTCTGAACATCTCGCAGTGACGAGGGCGAGATGAAATTCTGCGTTCACGCAGCCATGAGTGCGTCATGCCCGTCAGTCAAGAGTCAGACATCTGCGAGCACCGCGTCCCACCTGCTCACCTGCTCGCAGAAATCGCGCATCTCAGCATTGGAAGCTCTTTCCGAGCGCAGCCTGGCCCAAGCGTCGTACGCATTGACATCGGTCAAGAGGTCCGAATTTGCTGTAGCGAAGCGAGAACGTGCTCTACGATTGCGGGCAGAGAAGCGGTAGTGAGCATTACGCACGCGAGACACGTGAATGGCGGACGCGCGCACGCACGCATTTGCTTCCTCTCGCTTCTCAAAAGGTGCCAGAAACAAGGGCTTGCATGACATGATGGCCGCTACGGTGAGCATAGGGGCCAGAGCTTGAAAGACGGAGCCAAGGATGAGCAATTTGCCCAAGCGCAAGTCGAGCGGAAGGTTGCTCTGGGTCCGGGCAGTCGTCGTGCACAAGGTCAGCATGAGCAGAGCCAGACACGACGCTTGCCGAGTGCACGACGCGAACGCACCAAATGTCTGCCGAGCGCAGTGAGTCTGCTCTTGAAACCACGATCTTGCTGAATGGCTCCCACCTCGATGAGCGTCGAGAGCGCCTGATCCATACTGCCGACGTTTGGCGGATCAATAGCCTCACCGAGGTACTCTTTCACGTCCGTCTCCTCATCCATCGCCTTGGCCTGCAAAAACAGACTTTCCAGCGGTACCCTACGAATTTCCGGAGTTTGCTGTGCAGACATTTGCCTCTCTTCGGTGTACCTGCTAAAGAGCTTCCAGCACTCGCCAGCTCGGGTGCGACCTGCACGACCTCGTCTTTGTCGACAAGCTGCACGGCTAGCCCAGCACTCGACCAAGCGGGTCAATCCGGACTCGGGCTCGAAGCGCGTCTCCTTGACCCGACCACTATCGATCACGTAGCTGATGTCCGGGATGGTGATCGACGTTTCGGCAACATTGGTAGAGACGACGATCTGCGGACGCGACGGTGTAAAGCGTGTGAGCTTCGCATTCGAAGCCGAGAAAATGCTGTGGAGGCGCTGCGCTCACCTTGCGCAAGCCTTTGGAAGAAGGAGGCAAGAAAACTCGACGTTGTTCCTCTGAAGACAAATTGGCGTGCAAGGGCATGATGTCGACGTTGGTCCTGATTGCACTCCTGATGGCTTCAATTGCTTGTCTGTGCCCGTGCCAACCTGAGATGAGCGTCGCGCAGCATGCCGTGGGTTGTGACGAAGGCTACTCACCGAATTTCGCCCACACCAGGCAAAAAGATGAGGATCGCTCCGCCAGCAGAAGGATCAGCACCACCTTCACGTTCCTCAGCTTCCGCGTGCTCGCACAGCATCTTGACGGCGCAAGCCAGCAGTTCATAATCGATACGCTGCGAAGCGACGATGCTCAGCACGCTCTGCAAATCATTCTCTGCCAAGTCGCACTGCATCAACGAGTTCCTGATCCCTTCTACTTGCTGTTCCGTCTTGTGTTTCGTGGCGCCCATATTGCGCGCAGAAGGTCTAAAGTGCGTAAGTCGAATCAGATCTTCCAAATGATGATCCGACACTGGAAAGGTTCTGCCCGGAATACCGACGCACGGAGCGCCTGCAAAGTAGTCCGAAAAGACTTGCTGATCGATCGTCGCGCTCATGAGGATGACGCGTAGAGTAGGGTTGCGCTGCAGCACGCGTCGAAGCTCCAACAGTAAAAAATCAGAGTCTACCGATCGTTCGTGCACTTCGTCCACTATGACATGCGACAGACCGACCAGGTCCGGATCTCCCGTCGCAAGACGTCGAAGCAGCACACCCGTGGTGCTGAACAGCAGCCTGGAGCGAAGCATTGATGAGCACATGCGTGCGGATGGGCGGAATCTCAGCAACGTCGAACCGAGAAGCATGCCAAAAGATAAGACAGCTCGGACACACCTGCAATCTTTGCTCGCTTTTCTCTCTCCTCTGATCGCATACCCCACCACCCCACTGCCCAATCTTTCCGCTCGTTCCTCCGCAACCCTGGCAGCTACGCCCATAGCGCTGACTCTTCTGGGCTGCGTAACAACAATGCTGCACAAGCTCCCTTCCTTGCGCTGAGCAAAATCGTCCAAGATGTATTGCGGGATTCTTGAAAAAGGGCGATTGGCGCCCCCCAAGGAAAATGTCAGCAGATTGTGGAGCGCAAGTGTTTCGTCGCACCATTCTTGCTCAGATGGCCGCTCTAGAGCGAAATGCCCGTACTCACTGCGTAGTCTTTCCGCACCCCGTCTCACCCGCAACGATGATGACCCTGTTGCTGCTGAGCAGCTGCAACACTTCATCCCTAGCTTTGAAAGCCGGCAAAGCCTCTCTGACCTTTCGCATCTGCGCACACGTCTTTTGCTCCGCGGGGCTCAGACTCTGCGCAACCTGCAACAAGCACGCGTCCATCCGCGCATCTCTCCGCAAGGCTTGAACCCTCTGCGACGCTTTGCTACTGATGGCTCGCGAATCGACGCTAGAGTTGGTGGACGCGGTGACGTCGAGCGATGCGCCGCTTGTCGACGCACTGAGCGCAGGGACTAGACCATGCATGACGCTAGCCAGATCGGGAGGATCTTCGCAGACCTCTTTCCAAGTATTCTCTAGCTCTTCCACCATCAACAAGATCAACCCGCCTTCTCCAGCGCTGAGCATCTCCATCCAATCCGGTCTGGTGCGCGCAGCTCTAATCAGCCCAGCTGTGAGTGCCAAGCGTAGATAGGCAGGCAGGGTGGAAGAGGCGACGTAGAATGTGGGCAGAGAGGCAGAGGTGGAGGAAGAGATGGCTTCTTCCGCTGCGTTCAATGATGCCATCGTCGGGTACCTCGACTTTTCTCCTGGACATACCCTCAGGATCACTTCTTCCCCTTCTGCGCTCCCTTTGCCCTTCTTCCTCTGCGCAACTACAACGTCGTAATTTGTAGAAGCCCCGACATCTTCACCATCGCTGCTGCTACCCAAAGGCCTTTCGTCCTGCGGGATGCCACGCAACTTTTCCTCTCCAAGCACAGCTCCCACAGTCAACTTCTCATCTTGCCTCTTTCTCTTCCTCTCTTGCTTCTCCTGCGACGTTCGGCCCGCTCCCTCATCAGAAGCTGCAAGGAGCACCCGTTTCGCTTCCTCCTCATCGCCGACCAATCGCGCGAGGAGCATTTCCAGCACCACAATCTCCCGCTTGTCGACGTCGATGTGCGCCTCGTGCGTCTGCGCCATGGCTCTCTGCACCGCCTTTCTGGGAAATCCAGCATACCTGACCAATCGATCCGTGGCCCATCTGACAGCCAGACGTTCCTTCTCCTCCCCAGCCGTAGAAGCGGTGATGAAGGCATCTGCTTTTTTGCTGGGTGCAAAGGAGAGTGGTAGATCTTCTTCGGGAGTGAAAAGCACCAGGTATTCTAGAGCCGCTTCTCTGTCTCCGAGTGAGACGATGGAGGAGCGTAGAGAAGCTTCGGCAGAGGAAGAAGAAGGGGAGGAGGAGGAGGAGGAGGAAGATGGGGCGGTGCGGAGACCGGCTCGAGTGGTGTGCACCCATCGAGCAGCGCTTCGTGCGTGGCCCATTCTGAATCCCAAAGCAGTGAGCTGCTTGACGAGGCTCTGCACTGCCGCTTCGTCGATCGCCCCTCTCGCAACGCCTTCTGCATCCGAGGCGCGCACTGATGCATCTTCGTCTTGCCGCTCTTCATCCGCAAGGGTTGCAGCAGCAGCTTGAGGAAAGAGATTCAGAGCCGCTCTGACAGTCTTTTCCGTCATTTCCCTCAACCTAGCGCTCATTCGAACTTCCCTCGCTTCTGTCCAAGCTTTGCCCAACTTGCTCCTTCCATCCGACTGCAGCACCTCTCCCTTTTCCCTTGCCTCCGCTTCCCTCTGCCTCTGCGCTTCCTTGGCCGCTCTCTCCGCGATGCGCTTAGCGGCCGCTTCGAAAGGCTCTGAAGCCCACATCCAGTCCAGATGAGCAGGTGCTTGCTTCTTGTAAGCTTCCAGCGCAAGCCAATATTCGCGCGGACCTCCGGCTGGCAAGACGCGGTTCAAACTGAGGTTGGAACAGATCTGTATGCGGGTGTGTCAGGGGCGTTTGGATCTGTACAGGTCAAAGGGGGGGGGGAAAGGCAAAGTGGCGCGGCGCGGCGCGGCGCGTGCCCGATGTGGATTTTCCCTCGGCTTTTCCGCATGCAAGCGCGTGAATGTGACTGAATGCTAGGAGCGCAGCAGCAGCAGCAGCAGCAATAGCCCAAAAGCCAACCTCTACCCCCCCCCCCCCCCCCCCTCGGCTTTTCCGCATGCAAGCGCGTGAATGTGACTGAATGCTAGGAGCGCAGCAGCAGCAGCAGCAGCAATAGCCCAAAAGCCAACCTCTACCCCCCCCCCCATCCCCCCAATGCTATCGCATCAACGGCACTACTTACGCGAAAGAGCGCATACACGGCGCCCAACTGCCTAGCCATATCCTTGCCCCTCTCCCCTGCCGTCCAGCGCAGCATTTCCTCTTCCCTCGCTGCAGGTTGCAATCTGACCGTGTGCGGCTTGGAAGCGTCCGTCTTGTTCGTCTTTGTGAGCACTGCGAATGCTGTCCATCTTTCTTCTTCACCATCTTGCGCTTCTTCTTCTTCAACCGCCGTCGTGGCGCCTTGTTGTCGTCGTCGTCGTCGTGGCTGCTGCTGCTGCTCCTCCTCTTCTTGATCCTGCTCTTGCTCAAGCTGACGCTGCTCGCGCATCATACCACGCGCTCTTCGAACCTCGATATTGGCCCTTTGCCAACCAGCACTAGCATGATGTTTCTGAATGCGCTCATTGAGCAGCGAGATGGGCGGTTTGACGCCGGGCGGGAAGAGCGGAGGAGGTCTGCCGTTGCTGTTGCTGTTGCTGTTGCTGTTGCTGTTGCTGTTGCTGTTGCTGTTGCTGTTGCTGTTGCTGTTGCTGCGTGACGAGGTGAAATTCGACTCGTCTTGGGCTGCCGCTGCCGCTGCCCCTGCTCGAGTGTAAGAAGGAGCAGGTTTGGGCGCGCCTCCTTTGACCCAATCGGGTAGAGGAGCAGCTTTGCTGCTCGTTGCTCCGCTAGACTTGATCGAGGCATTCTTCTTGCGCGGCGCCATGATCCTCCACGCTCTTCTCTCTCTCTCTCTCTCTCTCTCTCTCTCTCTCTCTCTGTGCTCTTTTGCGTCTGAAATCGGTTCCGCAGACTTCGCTTGCTAGAGTGCCGAGTGCCCGGTGCAGTGCAGAGTCAGCCAGCGAGGTGGTGAAGAGTCCTGATGATGGCGAACTTGAAATGTTGAATGTGCAGACAGACGCATCGCATGACTCAAGGCTCTATCTAGACTCGCCGACTTACACTCAGACTGCATGGTGGGAGATTCACGATTCACGATTCAAGAATCACGAATTCGTGATTTCAAGAAGTTTTGATTCTTGATTCAATTTTGATTTCACCGCGTTGCTGATTACACGCTCACGTGACTCGCGCACGCACCATGGATCTGCCCATTCGCGCGCACGGACGAAAGATTAGCCGCGGAGGTACATTGATTGCTGTGAGTACGTGCATGCATGGCCCGCCGCGCCCCGCCGCACGTATTTTGATTGGAATATCAAGTCAAGCAGCACGAATCAAATGTTGAACTTGACGATACTCCCCCCCCACACTCGCACACACTCGCACTCAGCACTTTCGCTCACCACCACCACCCGTGGCAGCTTCGAAAGGGCCTGCTGAGCATCGTTCTCGAAAATCTCGACTCTTGACGCTGCGAATCTTGAACTGTTGCCATTGCGAAGCCACAAACGTTACTATCCGCGCCGATCCATCCATCAAGCTACGCGCTACCCTTTCCCCCGATTCCTCGACTCGACTCGGATCAGCACAGCCAGACGCACGCTCGCACGCTCGCACGCTCGCACGCAAGCAGCGCAAGCAATGTTCACTCCATCGCCGCCGCCGCCGCTATTGGCGCTCCTCTCTCATCTGCTGAGTCGAACAGCGCAACTGAACAACTCGCTATCCCAACCCATCTCCTCCTCTTTCTATCCCTTCACCTGGCTATCCACACTTCATGCTCTGAGGACTTCTTTGGCTTTCAGAGCGCTTGCTGGTCTGGCTAGGAGGAGGAGGCGCGAAGATGAGGGCAGGGAGGGGATGATGATGGAGAATGGCGAGAGAAAGGGGGAGAGGGAGAGGGAGAGGGAGAGGGAGAGGGAGAGGGAGAGGGAGAGGGAGAGGGAGAGGGAGCAAAGACTGGGTCCGGGCTGGATGCAGGATACGGTGGGCTTCTTGATCATGGTGAGTCTTGCGGGCGGGGGGGCTGATGCGTCGTGTCACGTGGTGGAGTG